CACGGTGGAGACACGGTGAGGACACGGTGAGGACACGGTGTGGTCATGGTGGGGACACGGTGAGGACAGGGTGTGGACACGGTGATTGACACGGTGTACACACGGTGTAAACACGGTAAGAACACGGTGTGGACAGGGTGGGGACACGGTGAGGACACGGTGAGGACACGGTGTAAACACGGTGTAAACACGGTAAGGACACGGTGTGGACTTGTAGTGGACACGGTGAGGACACGTTGTCTTTTATCTGTGTCTACTCTGGTTAACATACTGCTGCTGTCCATTAGCTCGAATGGGGGATCCAGTGCAGACACATCCAGGTCTCATTGGATCTCTTCTGGTCTGCTGCACGTATACATAAGTCACATGGTAATTATTGTCTGGTATCACTTGGATCAATTTGCATTTAACCCAGATTTGGGGACCAAAGAGGATAGTAGCTCGTTGAGCCGCTACGAGACAACATAGAAACGGGGACAGGAAGCCGTCTCATCGTCACTCTGATGAAATAAACATGTTTTTATTTCAGCTCTTTCCTTCTATTGGAGCTCCAGAGCCAAGAATCACACTTTAGTTTCACCAACGTCCAGGACAAAGAGGGGGGGGGGGGTGTCTAACAATACTCAGTAACAGATTAATGTCACTGGGTCTATAACAACTGGAAGCACACAGATTGTAAACAAGGGGCAACTGTTAGCCTAGCTTAGCACACAGACTGTGAACAAGGGGAAACTATTAGCCTAGCTTAGCAGAAAGACTGGAAGCATGGGTCACGGTCTGAGCACAGAGGGGTCTGAGCACAGAGGGGTCATGGTCTCAACACAGAGGGGTCATGGTCTCAACACAGAGGGGTCATGGTCTAAACACAGAGGGGTCATAGTCTAAACACAGAGGGGTCATAGTCTAAACACAGAGGGGTTATGGTCTCAACACAGAGGGGTCATGGTCTCAACACAGAGAAGTCATGGTCTAATCACAGAGGGGTCAGGGTCTCAACACAGAGAAGTCATGGTCTAATCACAGAGGGGTCAGGGTCTAATCACAGAGGGTTCAGGGTCTAAACACAGAGAGGTCATGGTCTAATCACAGAGAGGTCATGGTCTAATCACAGAGGGTTCAGGGTAAAAGCACAGAGGGGTCATGGTCTAATCACAGAGAGATCATGGTCTAATCACAGAGGGTTCAGGGTAAAAACACAGAGGGGTCATGGTCTGGACGGTGTTCAGAAACACAATGTTTTTGACGTCCCTTTAACCCACATGTGGGACTCTGGACCGGATCAGGAGTTATAGATTGACCCAGTTCCTCGTGGTCGTTGTGTGAACCGATCCAGACTCTAACATGTGTGTCACATCGATCCGATCAGAGAACAAAGGCTGATCCAGACTGATGAGGTGTAAACACACATCAATGACCTCCAGAGAATCCGGTCCCTCTGAGCCAATCAGAGCGCAGAGAGCCGGCCTGATGTAATAACTGTGACACATAAAGTCGTCTGTTACCTAAACTGATCCACAGCTCTGTCACTTCACTGCCATGAATCAATTACTGAGCTCATAATCCTGTTAGCACATGAATGCACACCTCCCTGTTGGCAGGTGCTGGCAGAATGAAGGGCTTAATGGAGCCGACCAATCAGAGCAGAGCTTTATCTGCCACATTATTGATGTTTATGATGTTTATGATATTTATCATGATGTTTATGATATTAATGATGATGTTTATTATGATTTTCAAGATATTTATAATGATGTTTATGTCTCTCAGGTGTTGAATGTGAAACCTTTCAGAGCAGCTTGTTTTATTGTATATTATATTATATATCAGGTACAACTGTGACTGTTGGAGGAGACAGAGCAGAGACGGGTGAGGGGGGGTCGGTGGGAACCAACAATCCCCCTCATTGTCTCATTGTTTGTGGGCGGCGGCCTCCTCTCAGCTCGACACATTCACAAGGCCCAATCTGTCCGATGGGCGACATTCTGAAGCACCTTGAGGGAGGAACGCCTGAACGGGGGGGGGACAACAATGACCAGGGGGAGATCGAGAGAGAGAGAGAGAGAGAGAGAGAGAGAGAGAGAGAGAGAGAGAG